TTTAATATATCTTTATTGATTTCAGAGAGAGGAAAGGAGAGGGAGAGAGAGAGATAGAAACATCAATGATGAGAGAGTCATTGATCGAGCCCACAACCCAGGCATGTGCACCGACAGGGAATCGAACCCCGGTCGCCTGGATCCCAGGTCCACGCTCAACCGCTGAGCCACGCCCAGCCGGGCTGAAACATTTTTTTTTGCTCTGCAGAATATAGCACTAGACTTGAAATTTATTCAATAGGCTTTAGACAAAATTAGACTGGATGTCAATTTAAAAAAATACTCAAGAGAAAGAACTGTTTTTTAGAATCAAAAGCAACAAGAAAATGTATGTGTGCATGTGTGTGTGCACACATTCTTTTCTTTTTTTTTAAATTCTTGCCTGAGGATATGCTTATTGACTTTTAGAGACAGTAAAAGGTGGAGGGGAGAGAGAGAGAAAAAAACACATTGATGTGAGAGAGAACATGAGCTGGTTGCCTTCTGTACGCACCCCAGCTGGGGATTGAACCCACAACCTAGGTATGCACACACACAATATTATATGTATATATGAATGTGCATACATATACATATGTATTAATTAATGTTCCAGAAAAATCCAGAGGAATTTTGGGTCATGTTGACTTCTAAATCATTTTTTCATTAGTTGGTCTACCAAGTTTATGTTATCTAACAAAAGGGCTTAGACGTTCACAATTTTTAACACATTTCTGGAAGACAAACCAGTGTAGACCAAGCTATCTGTATCGCTCTTAAAATTCCGTCAATGTTGCCCCAATCCTTGGTGTCACTCCTTTAGGGATACCTTCTAAAGCCAACGCAAGTTGTGGCTAGACGAGATCATAATTGTATCCAGAATTTTCGGTCTTGAGACACTCTTATTTCTGACAGGTCCTTCCTCCAAGGCATTTTTCACCGCCTAGCCTGTGAGAGTTAATGCCCTCTCTCAGTGTCCATGCAGGTCCACACAGCTCCCCTGCCCTCTGACTGTAATCGGTGCATCTGGAAAATGCTCATTCCCTTCAGCCATGACCGAGATTACTGAGAGATCAGAGATGAAGGCACCAGCCAAGAAAGTAAAGGAAGACGGGTTTTTATTTTGTATTTTCTCGAACAGACATATCAGGTTGGCAAGATAACAAGAAGTTAATACAATTAACTAAGTTAAAAAAAACAATCCACTGCCATTAAAAATCGTTCATACTAAATTGAACCCAATGACTAAGTGAAGTTTTCCCTTTTTCAAATAGTTGATTTGTGACACATGAAAATAGATACATGTGTAAAACCTACCAGTAGGCATTACCTTGTCAGCCAAGGAGAAGCAAAGAACTGGAAATGCAAGTTATTTAGAAAGAAAGGTCAAAATGATTGTTTTATCCTAAACTGTATACAGTCAGGCCCCTTTATTTCCTTCAGTCTTGCTAGAAGTAGTAATGAAGTGTGTTATTTAAAAATAATTGTATTTCCCATAGTAATAGAAACGTATTTAGTCAGTGAATTCTCAGCTAAGGATCTGGTGTCTCAGATTTAGAGACACAACCAAAACATTTTCATAAGTGTAAAGAACTGTAGCTATGAGCCAGGATAATAACTTAAAATTTAAAAATCAAAGCTTATCATTTTAAGAGGCATAAAGGTACAAACATCAATTACACAAGGCATATGAATGTTCTATAAACTACAACACCCACAAAAATACAATTATATCATATAAATTTTGCTGAAACTGAATGTTCGTTATAATAGTCATTAGACATTTAAACAGTTTTGGTGACTTTTGTAGAATTTGGAAGGGCCATTTTTAGGAGGAACGCAGGAAGGTAATTAGGTGGCCTGAGTTTCTTAAATAAGTTGTGCAAAGAAGGCTAAACTACTGCATCTGTCCCCCCCTTAAATCTCAATTAAATTCCCCCATGTAAAGGGAAGTCCCTCAAATACTACTTTGGGCCTCACAGGGGCCCCCGAGCCTGTGGCCAGAGGCTTGCTACATGCTTGTTGTTGGTGTTGCGTCTGTGACTAAAACTTAGGTTTCACTGCAAAAAGTTTTCTCGGGACTTCATCCTTTACGTTTTCCTACCTTCTGCATTTCTTTAGAACTATAGAAACTGTTTGACTTCAGGAAAAAAAAAATGCAGAAAAAGAAAAAGATGGGCCCTTAAGTCACTGGAGTTGACACCTTGTTGACAGCTATCGGAGCCTTTCATGCTGTTAGGAAAGCATAAAAACAGTTATTAGGTGTTTGTCACAGTTTTCAAAGAAGAAATCTCAACAGGCTCCCAGGGAATTGCTAGGACAGGCTTGGCTGTCAGGCCCCAGCACAGGGGCGGCCTTGTGCTTGGGGCGGGAGGGGCCACTTTCCCCAGCCCATCCCCAGGAGCAGGGGAGACACGCAGGGCTGTAACCGAGTGGCATTGGCAAGTGCTCTTTGGGGCCCTGTCCTTTGCTCCAGTCACCCCTGTGAGTCCATACCCTGGAACGTGTGTGTACTCAGGGAGCTATTGGCTCTGAAAGCATCTATTTGGGTTCCTGCAGCAGCAGAGTCCAAGGGAAGCACAACCTCCATGGAGAACGAGTTGACATACACGGTGCCTGTGGCTTTGACCCGATTTCACCTGGATGGAAAGTGTATGTGCCCTATTCAGGGGCAGAATAAGGAAAATGATAAAGTTTGCCAAATTTATACGCCTGGGTCCTAACTTTCTCTTCACATATCTTCCCTCCTCCCTTAGTGGTACCCGACTCGCCCTGTTGGGTTTCTGGAGCTCTCATGGCCTGGCTGCAGAGCCCCTACCCATTTGCCACTCATAGCCTTTATTCACTCAAAAGGATAAATAACACTTTTAATTATAAATAACTTAAATAACCAATGAGCTTTCGTATTCACTGTGCCTTAGCATGGAAATTTAATATTACAAATCAATCANCCTGGCTGCAGAGCCCCTACCCATTTGCCACTCATAGCCTTTATTCACTCAAAAGGATAAATAACACTTTTAATTATAAATAACTTAAATAACCAATGAGCTTTTGTATTCAGTGTGTCTTTGCAGTGGAAATTTAATATTACAAATCAATCGTGGAGTATAAGAAGTGAACAGAATATAAAACCTCTCACTCCATCTATAGGAAAGTCAACCCTGCAATGTATCTGTCAAATGCCCAAGTTCTGATAGTGCCATCCAGCATCCTATGAAATTTAGCTCATGGAAGGTAAATCATCACAATGCCCTTTTCAAGCCCAATCATTTTTAGGTGAAACAAATAACTTCTATAGTATAAAAATACATCTATTAAAATATCAGATAGCCACCCCTTGACCAACAAAAATATCACATTTTCTATGAAGTTGAAGGAGTTGCTTTATTTCTATTTTAACAATAGTTATATTATTATTTATATGTTAACACGAATTGTTAATGACATTGTTCTTATACCTTATCATCAACACGTTAAAAATCAAATTGATAGTAACCTTCAAATCGAGCCCCCAGACAGGTGGTCTTATCTCTGTTCATGGCACCAAAGACTCCTTTTCATTCAGGTTTGAAGCCCAACAGTCAATCTCAACTCATTTCAAGCCGTCCTCCACACTGCTGACAAACTAATCTTTCAAAAGTCTAATTCCTGTCAAAGCCAGTGCCTCTCCATCACAGTAAACCAACTACCAATCCTCTCCCTAGGGTTTAACGCCATCCAAGATATGCATTAGGTGTCATGAGTTCCTTTCATCTGCACAGCTCTGTAATTTTGTTATTACGAATCATGGTTCTTATTAGCTAATACTTAATGACTGTTTACTAAATATTAGGCCCTGCCCTTAGGCTTCACAGAAATTATCTTAGATAACCTCAGAGTAATTCTATTTGGTAGATACAATTATATCTTTATTCCTAAAATGAGTAAACCAAAATTAGCAAGTTAGGCAACAGATGAGAACTGATTTTAGCTGTGGCTGTGACAGGTCTGAAGTAAGAGAGATAGCCGGCTGAACAGCAGTGATTCAGCGCTGTTTCTGTGACTCCAAGGCTAATGGTCCTAATAAGTCCCTTCCATCTGGCCCTTCAGCTGCATATAAATATTAATTCCAAATGGAATGGAAGTTGTTATTCTCTAGGGGAACAAGGACAGTTGCTGGGAAAGGTCACAGACATTCTATTCCCTATTTGCTTTAAGTCCTGGCGTGGTGAAACATTCCTGTGTATAGATACTGCTTTGGTGACCATATATAGATTTTTTCAGACAATTTTGATTTCACATTTTCCACCCCTCATAATCAGAGGCATGGTTTAGGGGGATGCACCAGAAAACATTGTCAATAAAACATTAAAGCCAGTAAAACACATTGACATGATGTTGTAAAGATCATGATAAAAAGATGTTAGAGAAGCAGGCTGAGCGGGATCTCTGAGGTCCTCAGACCGACACTGCATCGCTGCATGGACTTCGTAACCAAGCACAGTGAAGACCCCTCCCCTCTGTCTCCTGATTTCCGATCCTGACCCTGTGGCTTTATGCAAGGCCAGTGCGCCCCTTGAAGTTAAACAACCAATAGCTTAGCAGAAAATAGATCCCAAAGCACTCTTTTAAATGACCAGACAACTGAAGTGAACAGGCACAAATGAAGTGTTCTCTGTTTCTTTTGTAAGAACATCCCCTTAAATGCAAAGGAAATAAACAATGTTTGATGAACCTTCTGATAATAAAGTTTTACCCAGAGCAGCCACCTTTATTTTAGGAGATGAAAACCTAATTAGCTCTTCTGATGTTAAACCCAAACATTTAAATAGAATTCTTTAACATATATGCCCAGTTAATCTACTATAGATAAGATAAAGTAATTTTAAAAAATCATTGACATTTAAATTTTCTCTGAGAAAATACTGAAATAAAATTATGCCTACAGAACTTAAGAATGTGAAAGATATTCTTTGTTACTTGCTGTGGGGGGTTCAAATAAAATTGGTTCATAAGTAGAAAGATGTTTCAAAATGCTCATATATTTTTAATTTCAAACAACCATGTAAGAATTTTTTTTTTTTAATCCTCACGTGAGGATATTTTTCCCATTGCTTTTCAGAGAAGGTGGAAGGGAGATAGAGAGAGAGAGAAGCATTGATGTGAGAGAGACATATTGACTGGTTGCCTCCCGCACGCCCCCGACCAGGCCTGGGGATCGAGCCTGCAGCCGAGGCAGGTGTCCTTGGCCGGAACGGAACCCAGGACCCTTCAGTCTGCGGGCTGATGCTCTAACCACTGAGCAAAACCACTAGGGCAAATTAGGAATTCTTGATGCTGAAGACCTGCTGATGTATTTGGCACAGGACAAAAAAAAAAAAAAAAAAAAAAAGCACAAAAATTTTTGGACTGGATTGTTAATTAAATGCCAAATAACACACTGAGATGACTATTTTATGGTCACTTCAGAAAATTCCAAAGAGCAAGGTGTGTCTATAATCAAGGGGTTGTAATTCCAGAGTCACCACATGCTGAAAACGCTCATTTCTCTTTTCCTTTAAAATATATTCGCAAAGCTGACCATCCGAGTAGAATTATACGAACTTAGACTACACTTTTGGCTTTGTCAAAATAAATAAATACACAGTGGCAATTAAAAAAATGAAAGATGCGGCTTTTGGCTTTGCATCTAGGCTGCTTGTTATCGGAGCTTCTCCAAACCAAGTCTGTACTAACGAGCTTTCCTTTCTGCAGGGAGATAAAGAAGCTGAATTAGGGCTTCCATTTTCCCCGCTCTGCGATCGGAACTCAACGATGGTGGCCCAGTCACAGATAGGTAATACTGAGGACCAGCAGTCGGGGGACTGGGCGCGTCCGTGTCAGTTTTCAGATGGATGCACCATGTTCCAAGGGGTGACATCCATGAAGACCTCATTCCATAATCACGATAAATGTGTTCTTTAGACCCAGCTAGATGGTGCTAAGTCATAGGAATTATTAAAACCTCACAAAATGAATTCAGTGAAGCAGTACTAATCAATGTAATTGTTACTCTGTTGGTAATCCTTTTACCAAAAAAAGACAGCACTTTAATCTTCTGGAAGAAGCAGCCTTTTTTGATGTTGTCTGGCTGATTACTGTTTTTCTGTAATTTAATCTTTTGAGTGTAGAACAATTCAATGAAAATATTAATATATCTGTTCTGTTATCACTGCATAATATGCTTAATATACTAGCTTATATTCTTTTGGAGAAAAACGTATTATGATATGAATAGATAAGCCAACACTGAGAAATTTGTAAAATGATACTGCTCCCAACCATATTTATTCTTTTCATTTGTATTTGTGCTGGAGTCTTGGAGGCCTGCCAGTTATTAAAACATGGCTGTGCTGCATAGTTCAGATATTTGTAAGAATTACTCCCTGAGCCAGCATGGTTGTTATCTCATCACTATTAGATGGCTGCCTTACCTCTCTAGCTGCTCCAGCACCACCTCCCGCAAGGCCGAGGTCAGCTGCGAGAAAGCTGCTTGCCCTGCCCTTCCCCCCCCAGGCTGCAGGCGTGAGTGTGGCGGGCTAAGGACCCCGCAGGCCCCTGGGAAGAATGGCATTTCCTGAGGCTTGCCGCTGTAATATAAATTGCCGCTGGCTTAGTACAGGTGACCTCTTATTTAACAGTCTCCGCATCCCGGGCATTTAAGGCCGTAGCCAGAACTGGAAATAGCACCCTGGGTGGCCAATTAACATTGCTTTGACTTGAAGGCACCAATTAAAACACAAAACTATTGCAGGTTTTTTTTTAAATTAAAAATGTACCTTAATGTATTCTATGACTAATCTAGTAATTTGAAATGTGAATTACTTTTATCCAAGGATGGGCTACTATGACCTAAAAAGCCTCCCTCTGGTTAGTCTCCTGTGTTCCGGTGGTAGTCCATTGCTCCCGGGTGTGTTTCAGGCAACAGCCCTAGATTTCCAGCACCACACCTCTCCTGGCACCCGGGGGTGTTGCATGGACACAATGCTAAGAACAGGCTGTGTCTCTTCCACCTAGACACTGGGTGGTAAGTGCCCCATTCTCTCTGTGGGCCATTTTCTGTCTTGATGAGTACTTTAAATGTAAAAGTCTTTATTCATTCTGACACCTCCATGTGATGAGATTAATGCTGTTTCCTAGAGATGGTCCTGTTTGCTGATTTGACAGAACATGCCCACGCACTGTCAACTAACACTTTACATCCAGAGAATAATAAACAGCCATCTGAAATATTAATATACTGGCCAAAAGCTCTGACTCATGAAAGGGGGACGGGGGGAGAGTGGTTGCCTTCGTGTTGCCTGAGAAAATACTTTAATTTCATTTCTCTGAAGCTTAGGTATTATTTCTTGTTGGTAAGTAATAAAATGCAACAATCAACTGAAGACCTTTCAGAAAGGGTAATGATCGCACTTATTGAGAAAGGAGAATATGTTAATTTTGGCTAGATCTGAATTTATTGTTAACAATAGCATGAGACTGAATGTTAAGTAAGAAAGCCAGTATTCTTGAGTTAGCAAGTTTAAATTGTATCCCTTCCAGCGCTGGCGAGAGTGTTTTATACAGCTGCTAGGCCATCCCTATAGAATAGATTGTTGCTATTGGATTAAAAATCATTGCAAGGGGTAAATAAACCATATTATAGTTGATACTTTCTATCAGGAGCATATAAAACTCTTCATTATTACCAGTTTTAGAATTCAGTAAATTGTAACCTTTGAATTTATCTTTTTTTGCTCTTGTAGGTTTTATTGATTTCATCGTAGAGCCAACATTTTCTCTTCTGACAGACTCAATAGAGATCATTATTATTCCTCTTATAGAGGAAGACTCAAAAACGGAAAATTCTTACGGAGCAAGCAGGTTTGATACTTTCTTCCTTGCATCATTTTTCATCTTTGCAATGTTTCATAACCTTTTAATTATGATTATCTTTATTATTTCTTACCTCTAGGCAGGAACATTCTTACAAGAATTATTAGACATTGTTGCCACCTAGTGGCTATGCATTATATTGCACATGCCTTTGAAATAACTTGATGTCCATTTCAAAAAAAACATCAAAGTACTAAGGAGTATATCAGAATAGTATTCAATACCAAGGAGAATGAAATTATTTGAATTTTTATTGAAGATGTAGGTATTGTGTCCTGGACATGTAACATTTCTGGTTGTGTTAATTTGCTTACAAACAAATCAACCACAACCTACTTGCATATCTCAAAAGACGCCTTTATCAAAGTTCGTCTTTTAAATGACATGAATACAATGAATCTATATAACATTGTTCCAACAAAGTCCATTGTATATACCACTTACATTATTTCAAACTAGATTTTTTTGACCAATACATTTGTTAAGGGATATTATTTAAAACTTCCAGTTGCAGAAAAATCATGCTAAATTCTTACCCATCTAAACACACAACCTTTCCTAACAGCACGCCAACAGGCTTCCTAAATGCTGCTTTAATGAGGAAACTTAGGGAATGTTCTACCTGAGAAAGATCCAGGTTAGCCCGGAGATTAAATGGTGGAGGAAGGGGCAGGTGCCGTTGCCTGCGTTGGGCTCTAGAACGGTGATGCCCCTTTGTGATGTTCATCAGGAGATTCACTACTAAGTCAGCTCACCCCAAGTTCCTGCTGCCGTGCTCAGGCCTCTCCACCCTGTAATAGATGAGCACCCCGACGTGCTGCTCTGGAAGTCCCTGACAGACCCAGGGAGCGCCTGGCCCTCCCCATGAAGTAAAGAAAGGAGGGGGGCGAGAAGCACGAACGTGCTCAAAACTGGGCCTGAGCACCTGCCGTCCTGCTTCTCCAGTTGGCTTTATAGTGTTTCAGGCTTTGCTTCCTTATGCCACATCCCAACCCTGCTATTTTCTGGTTTCTTTGATTGTTAGTTAGCTCAAGTACTTTATGTGCTTACACACTGCTGATTCTTGCAGACGATCGAATATGAAAGGCACGGTGAACGATGGAACCTACTTCCCAGACTACTCTCTTGCAAGTGTGGACCTGAACAGCTTCAAAAACAACCTGGTGGACATCATCCAGCAGAACAAGGAGAGATGGAAAGAGTTAGCTGCTCAAGGTACGGTTCATTTATATTGTTTTTGAAACCTTCCTGCCATCTCTTTCTGTATCACCACCTCTGAGATTCTGGAATTTTCCCTCCTAGATTTATTCTTTTATAAAATATAGAAGCCCCTGGCGGTATTTGGAATTTAGCTACCCTTTGATTATTCATGAGAAAGTTGGTTAATCTATTAAAGAAGAGGAGATTCTGCTCTGTTTGTGCCACATGGACTGCAGAAGTGGGTGTCGGTGAGGTGGCTCGAAGGATGGGGCGATGAAAAGGTCACAAAACTTTACATGGCCCAGTAGCCTCCTGTCCGCTTCTAGAGGTACTTTCGAGCCCGTGTTTTAGGCTTTGCAAGGGCCTCCTGTGTTGCCGGAGGAATGTAACACCTAGTGTCAGAGATCTGGTTCTTTTTTCTTTCAATTTTACTAAGTTACTTTTTTGGCTGACAGTTTCGCTCATGAGTTGCAAAAGTCATCAGTAATTTACCACCAGGGAAAACAAATGTGGGACTAGCTCTAGTTATTTCTGACGTCTTTTCTGATTCAAATAGTCTGTTTCATTTACAGAGCATGTGAGTTAGTACCCGTGAACTTTAAAGCAGGAAATTCGCTTTCAAACTCCAGCTCTGGCCCCTGCCTCCTCTCACGCCCCCCCCCCCCC